CAGCAGTGCTGTTTTCAGAAGCCCAAGTCCAAGTCTCTTCTGAGACCCATCGCCAACTCTTAGCTGTGACCCTCTGTGAAAATCAAAACCAAGTTAATCCCTGGTACAGTAGCACAGGGTACACATTACCATTCTAGAAGGGAGGAATGGGGAATAGAGAAGAATGGACTCAAGCAAGGCCGAAACTCAGCGGGACAAACATTAAGCCTGATAGCTCCATATCCAGCCTCGGGACACAGTGGTAAAATATGGGTTCCCAAGGGATTGGGGTGTCCCAGCCCAGGGGCTTGCTTGTTGCAGTCCACACGCCTCTCTGTTGTGCTGGCTTCACTCAATAGCCTGTAGTTTTGTTGGCATCCATTCCATGTTCATGACAGAGCCAACTTCCTGGGGTCTCCACTGCACATTTCACTTCATTCCCATAGCTTCACACACCACCCTCTCAGGAGCTCCTTGCCTGGCCTCTCAGGCCTTCCTCTGAAATCTGGAAGAAGCCAGGAATGGCAGCGTGTACCTGTGATCCCAGCACTCAAGAGGCTGAGGCAGGAGAATTTCTGTGAGTTCAAGGCCAGTGTGGGCTACATAATGAGTTCAAGGCCAGCCTGAGCTGCATAGCAAGACCCTGTCTCAAAATAAACAAACAAACAAAGAAATCTGGAAGGAAGTCTTTCTGACCTCACAGCTCTTGCATTCTGTTATACACTGTTCCTTCAGGGTCAAAATTTAAGATTTTCAAATTTTTCTCTTCTGCTTTTTGCCCCTAATCCTCACTATAAATCTGACTAAACGCACCTAGTAATAACCGTGTCACAGTACAAACATTGGGCTGCCTTTGAATTTCCTCCACCAGATCAAGTAGTTCACCATCCTTAATCTCAATCCCCTCCAAAGTCTAAGGACATGGACAAATTATACACACTTTTTTTTTTTTTTGCTGAGCACACAGGGCCGCTAGTCCAGCTGCCAATGGAGCCCTTATCCCTAGCTGAAATCTCCTGAGCCTGGCCTTTACTGTCTATGTTCCTATCAGCCTCTGGTCTTCTCCTCTCCAACTGGAATCATCCATTAACCTCCACTTACAGCATTCTAAGGCTCCCCTACCCAGCCTCTTCAAACCTTTCCAGACTCCTCCCACAAACCAGTTCCAAGAGCTTCTGAGCCACATGGTCAGGTATAGTCATAGCCAAGACCCTGCTTCTCCTGGTACCAGTTCCTTACCTTAGTCACCCTTCCTGTTGTGCTGGACACAATACCTGAAACCCACAGTTTAAAGAAGGAGAGGTCTAACTTGGCTCACATTGTAAGGGAATTTAGTCCATGATCAGTAGGCTCCAAGGCAACCAAATCATGGCAGAGGGCTGTGGCCAAGCAAAGCTGCTTAGTTCATGGTGGCTGAAGCAGAACAGGGGGTCAGCGCTAGAATGTAAGGGCCAGGGAACAGACGCAGACCCCAAAGACATGGCCCCATGACCCATGCTACACACCCACAAGTGGGCTCCACCAACCCCTGGGTGGATCCCAAAGCCGGTCAGGTTGATATTCCACCCTGTTTCATCATCTCAGGTCAATTTCCAATTCTAAAATTGCTAGTGAGTTTGAGTACTTCACATGTCTCTATGTGAAGATATATCACATGAAAACGTGTTTGGCCAGATTTCCATCAGGGATGCCATCATCTTCTGCTTCACTTGTAGAGTTTCCCTGGATATTAATTCTTTGTTAGATTAAAATACTAAAAATACTTCCTTGTGTTATTTTTCTATCTGTAGATTTAGGTGTAGAAAGCACCCTTCTATTTTGTTTTGCCAGCTGTTTTATTTTTAATCTTAACTAGGTATAGTTAATCAAATGCTTTTATCCATCTTACAGTATAATCTTTGATCTTCCTTTAGTTTAGTAATGGGATAATTTTTCTTGAAAGCTTTCCTGATGTTTAACTGTCTTTGCATTTCTGGGATACACCCTTCCTCATAATACTTTCTTAGATTGAAACATATGAAGCTGTTTTTTGGTCAAAAAATGGTCAAATATTACTTGTCACATAGAGATGAAATTAAATATTTTTAAATATTCTTGGATTAAATTAGCCTTTTCAAAAAGACTTTTACATTAGTGATAGCAAGTTAAATATAAGTATAATCTTTTTTGTGTTTATCTGTTACGAGAATTATAATCAGGATTACACCAGCCTCAAAAAATGAGGTGAGAAAAATTTTAAGCTATTTTTTCATGTTCTGGAACAACTTAGGGAAAAATTTACTCTAAGCTGAAATCTTACAGAATTGAAGTATAAAACTATCTAGCACCGAGTTTTCTAATGAAAGGAAATATTATATATTTCAACCTCTTTAAAAATTACAAATCTGTTGGAAATTTACATTTATTCTTGTACTAAATGTGACCTTTTACATTTTTTGAGAAATATGCCTGTCATATATATTTTTAAGTCTGCCACTATATAGTTCATATTGATAGTGCCATCCATCATCATTTTACCTGAAAAAAAGCTGTCAGACGTTATTTCTCTTTTTTAGTTCTATAATTTATTTATACCATTTCTTGTTTTCCTTGTGCAGTTTTTGCAGTCCTATTTTCTAAAAACTAGTTTTTCTTTTTTGAACTAAATTTCCTTTTTAATTGCTACATAGAAACATAAAATTATACATCCTAATGGGATAACACAGTGTCTCAATATGTTTATACATTGTGTAATATTTAAAGAACTAGTTGTTAGTTTCATTGATCTTTATGTGATATTTTTGTATTATCTCATTTGCTTGGTTTTGATCTATTCTCAGTAGATGCTTTTATATTTGCTATTTTTCTCTTGTTTCTTTGCATTTGCTTTACAGTTCTTTTTCTAACTTCTTGGGTATCAAGTCTAATTATCTTTTTTTTTAATTATTGTCTGGTGAATTACTCAGAATTAGCCTTCCAAGTTCCTCTTTCACTGTCTCTTTTCATCAAGATGGAAACCTAAAATTGTTATTTTCCTATCTTAGGCTTTTTACTAATACTAACTTATTTGTAAACATGAGATTTTAAATTTATCTTTTCATAGTCAATTTTCAGTGTTTGGTTTGACTGAGCTATGTTCGGAGAACACAGCCTGTATGATGCTGCTTCTTTGTATGTTATTGACGGTTCTACTGTGGCCCGAAACACAGCCTGTTTCTGTAAGTGTTCTGGGTTTGAATGTTCAGAAATGTGTCTTTTCTGAGAGTCGAGAGTTCCGTGTATCTACTACCTTGATCTTACTGCCCTCTTAGTCATCACTGGCTTTTTAAAAAACCATTCTCTGCCTTCTTATTTTCTGGATTGTGCTAAAGCCTGTTTTGTGTTATTTTCTTAGCTGTGGTTCGGCTCCTTAACCGACTCACCCTGCCTGTCCCGGAAGCAGCGGAGAGGAAAGCTAAGTGCCGGCTGAGCCTGGGCTCTCGGGCCCAGCCCCTGAGGGACACGGCTGGGATGGCACCACTTAGCCTGGCCGCATGGTCGGCCTCGTTCTGCAGCACCTGGCGACCCAAGGGTTTCTCTGAGCCAGCGATGCCCTGTCCTCTCCTTGGGGGACCCCAGCCATGCCCGAGACCCGCGCACCCACTCGGGAAGTCTCGTCTAGCTGCACAGGTCCTCTGGTTTCCAGGAGCGCCGTTAGCGGAGGGCTCGCTCACTGATAAGTCAGCTTTTTCCTGGTGCCCCTGTGGCGGCGAAGCTGGCTGAGCTCTGCCGAGCCAAGGGTGCTGTGACTGTCTGGGTCCGCGTACCTCCCGCTCTCCCCGTTCTTCAGCCTCCACACAGCCTCTCGGTCCCGGCAGCCCACTGTAAGGGCACCTGAGTTTATTGATCGCTTTCGTACATTTCAAATCCCTTCGTGATGCTGTATTTTGTGAACCATGTTCTTTATCACTAAAGTTTTTGCAAGTCTTTTAAGAGTCTCTTCAAAATCTTTGCAAAGCACATTTATTCTTTCTGAAATAAGCAGACACTTGGCTCCCAGTGTGTGTGTGGACTTGTTTTACTGTTTGGAACTTGCTGCTCACTTCAATCCCAGGTCGCTAAGGCTGGTGGAGTGGCCATGGCCCGGCAGCTTCCTCTCCTGTCCTCCTTGGGACTCCTGGAGCTCAGCTTTCGTGCTGCAAGCTGCCCTCGGAGTCCATCCACGTAACGCAAAGGGAGTTAGCCGGGCCTAGTTGCAGGAGGGCCAGAACCTGTCTCTTTCTTTACCCTTCGGCTGACGAGCCAATTGCTTCGCAGCACAGTAGTGCGTGGGTCTGAGGCCGCTGCACCTGGGTGAGTGCAGGTGAGAGACGCCTCATGGACTGTTCGTGGTTCCTTACACCTTCCAACGCCCAGAAACGAGTCTTATCCGGCCCAGTTTAGAGTGGTACCCGGAGCCCCAGAGGGAAGCGCTTCTGACCCATGGCCATCGAGTGTGAGACCTCACAGTGGGCTGAGCTTGGACCTCACAGCGGGCTGAGCTTGGACCTCACAGCGACACCCACTTCTGAAACACCCCTTGCTCTGCTCACGCGATTCACTTACTTTAGGCCGTTCGTGTATTTTAAAGACTTCTTTAGGGGCTAGGGATGTAGATCCTTCCTAACATGCACAAGACCCCGAGTTTGTTAAGTGCAATTATGCTTTAGAATAAATTGTTGATTTTTCTCTCATACGGAACCATAAATCCATGAGAGTAGAAGCCGCGGCTGTTGCCCATGGCCCCGTCTCCGAGCCCAGATCCCCCTCGTGGCTCGGTACTGTTGCTCGGTACATACTCTGCTTCCCCTGGGGGTGAAGGGGAGGCGCCGCCGTGGTCTCCCCGCCTTGTGCTGCCTCGGCCCCCGCAGTGCACAGAGAGACAGCAGTGGGCGTGGCCCCGAGGAGCCTGTCCTAAAGAGCACGCAGTCAGGGGCTCGCGGTAGTACAGGAAGCCCTGATGGCTTCCGGATCAGTCAGCTGCTCTCTTCAATTCCTTACACTTTCTTTTTCTTGTTTTATAGAAAAAATCAGGCAGCGGTACGCAGATCTGCCCGGCAAGCTGCACATCATCGAGCTGGAGAAAGATAGGCAGGGGCTGGGCCTCAGCCTGGCGGGCAACAAGGACCGGTCGCTCCTGAGCGTCTTCGTGGTGGGGATCCACCCCGGGAGCCCCGCGGCCGCCGACGGCAGGATCCGCGCAGGAGACGAGCTGCTGGAGGTGAGGCAGGGCTGGGTCGCGCGCGCAGCAGTCAGCGAGGGTTAGGTCCTCTGCGCCCTTCGTAGCGAGGACTGGAACCAGACTGCTGGCCGTGGGTGTTTTTTGCTGCCGAGTGAAGACTTCTCACAGCCTTCTCAGAGCCCGTAGAGGGACAGTCTCACGGGAACATATGCAGGGCAGGGGCTTGTTTTTAATATCCGTTCCCAAAGGAGCAGAGCTGCGAGGGAGTCTAACATTGTGACTGTTCATCAGACTCCCTTTGGGTTTGGTCTCTGCTGTTTGGTTTTGTAAAAAAAGCGGCAGGCTTGTTCTCCACCTTAAGGAGAAAGCATTGTATCTTCTCCATTTATGTAAGGCGTTCTCGCTGGAAGTATGGAGTACATGCCTTTGATCTGTTGAGAAGGTTCTGTTCTACTTCTAGTCTCCTGATAGCTTTTACCATGAACAACTGTAGAATTTAGTCCAATACTCTTTCTTCAACTAGTGACAGGATCATGTGGCTTTTTCCTTTCCTCTGTTAAAATGATGACTTTTGGGAGTGGATCTTCCAATGCTGAACCAACACTGCCATCCCTATAACAAAACCACTTTCTACATCCTGCCCGATCTGACTTCTAATAGTTTGTTTTGTTAAACAAATGTCTATCTATGTTCATACTTTTTTCTTCTATTATCTTTATCCAGTTTTAGGATTAGCACAATGTTGAGTTCCTAAAATGAGGGGAGAAGTGTTCCTTCTTTTTTCTGCTTTGTTTGATATAATTTATCAGTTAAAATGTTTATGAGCATGCTGTTGTCATATAGGTAGGTTTTCAAGCTAGGATATACTTTCTTTAATAGGTGCTATTCAAATTTTATATTTCTTCCAGAGTTAGTTTCATTAATTTGTCTTCTAAGTTACTTCTTAGAAGTTGTCAAATTTATTTCAAAAAAGATTTTTGTAATATGCTTTCTATATCCTTTTAAATTCTGTAAAATCTGTGGTAATGTCTCCTAGATCTTAATATTTTAATTTAAAAAATGTATAACTGATATTGTGTAACAGGAAGAAAAGGTCTAAAAGAGCAGGGAAATTGGGAGGGGTAGGGGAAGGGAAAAAAGGGAAAGGAAAAAATATGAGAAGAGGAAAAAAATGGAAACAAGGTCTTTGCAAATAGGGAAGGGTGGAGGGGTTGAAGGGAGGGCAGGGGAAGGGGGAAAAATAAGAACCAAGACAGATTATGTAAAGGTGCAAATTTCCAATGGTGAATGTCATTGTATTGTACACCTAAAATGTACCAATAAAATTAAAAAAAAAAAAAAGAAGGCGGCAGAGCCAGCAAAACCTGACTTGCATCAGGAGTGGCCCAGGTCTGTCACGTGGAGTGGGGCTGCAGTCTCATGGGCACCTGGCTCAGGAGAAGGCTGGAGCCTGAAGAAGCCAGGGCAGGGCCAGGTCCTCTGCTCATCACTGCCTGAATGGCAGCATCGGTGACCTGAATGGTGCTTCTCCTTTCCTGAATGAGTCAGGGCCTGCACCCTGATCTTAGTGTGCTGCAGTCTGTGTCTGTCAGGACACGAAAGGAGATGAAGATGTCCGGCCTCTCCATTCACACTGCCCCAGCCTGGCAGAACAGAGTGGATGAGAAAGACCTTTACACTGCAGATGGAGACGGAGCAGTGACAGTGAAAGCTGCCCTGCCCGGCCGGCCCCGCACCTGCTTCTCCAGGGCAGCCGCAGTGTTGCTCTGAGTCGTCCAGCTCCGGTGGCCACTGTGCTGAGGCCTTCTGGGAAAAGTGTTCCACATGGGGATGTCCGGAAGACCCGGTCCGCCTGATTCCTCCTGCTCAGAGTGCAATGCTCAGTCGCCATAGCGCAGCCAGAGCAGCTGCCACGGGAAGGGGAAGTGGGGACACCTTCCGTGCCTTCTCGGGGTGCACCACGCCGACCTCACAGCTCTCCAAATGCTGCAGCTCAGGGGCTTATTTTGTTTTTGTAATGAGGGTCTTGCTAGGTTGTCCAGGCTGGTCTGGTCATGAGCTCACGTGATCCTCCTGCCTCAGCCTCCCAGGTGCAGAGACTATAGGCACACGCCATGCACCCCACATGGCACAGGGATTTGTACAGAGGTCTTACCTCACAGGCATGATCGGGTGTTAACTTAGACTCGAGCCCCTCTTCTCTGAGCCCGACCCCACAGAGCTGCCCGATGGGGTAGAGGTGTAGCTTGGTCGCACGGCGCCTGTCTGCCAAGCCTGAGACCCTGGGGCCCATCCCCATCTTGGAATAAAGTTGCCTCATAGACGCAAAGGTGCTGCACCCAGGAGTTGCAGGGATTGGCACCATGGGGCAGGAACAGGGCCCTGGACCAAATGCTGGGACAAAAGGGACCCAGCGCCCCGCGGCCTGGAGAGTGCACCAGTGTGGGCCTTCAGCAGGGCCCTGGCAGAGACCTGGCTCGCTTTGCCTGCGGACGGCAGCTGCACAGACTGGCAGTCAGCTGTGAAGGAGCCGTGTCACCTCTGTCCCCGCCGAGGCTGGCTAGTACCGCTGGGCAGGAAGCGCCTTCACTCGGGCCTCCTGGGCTCCTCCGCACTCTTCCTTCGGCCTCCGTGCTTGGACCCCTTCACTGCCACTCAGTGACTGCCCTCATTCCGAGAGGGAGAGAGCAGGGCCTCATCCACACACGCACTCAGCTGAGTCCCTGCCCCTCCCGAGCCAAGTCTCTGCTTTCGGGGGCAGCAGCCAAGACCCGAGGATGCAGAGCTCAGTGTCCTGTGTCTTCCCCACCCGCCGCTGCCTTCCTGCAGTCAGAGCTGTTCAGCCGGCGACTGTGCAGTGTCCTATGCGGGTTCCGCGCCTGAGATGCGGGAGAGGTGTGTGGCATCCAGCCAGTCCCGGGCGCGCGGACATTCCCGGATTCGCTCTCGCCGACCGAGTTCCTCAAACCGCGTTTCTGGGTGACATCGTGTTTCAGTCCTGCTGAGTGTCTGTACCGACACCCTCTCTGCAGAAGCACGTCCTGAGGAAAGTCCTCCTGCTCCTCCAGCTCCGTCAGCACCCTGCACACTGGGAAAATTCACACCCAGGGCCTTGGGCAGCTGTAACGTGGGCCCTTCCGGCCTTAAGTCAAGGATGAGAGGAACAAATGCAGGTGGGTGCCTGAGACCCCTGCAGCAACTCTCTAGTCCCCACCTGCCCAGTGTGCGACTCGAGGCTGAAGAAAAACTTAAGACAGGTAAAGAGAAAGCGTGAACTGGGACAACGGCCAATGCTCCCTTGGCAAAAGGCACGGGTCCGTCTCACCCAGCAAATTTTATTATTCATTAATCAGGGTAAAGGTGAAGTGTGTGTATAAATGTGAAGAAGTGCATGAAATCTCCATGGAAACCAATGCAGGCAAGGCTTTAAAGAGAAGTCAAAGCATATTCAAATTAGAAGCAAGACAGACAAAATCTATGGTTGTAATTAGGGTATTGTCCTTCAAGCTATGAAGGCACTAAGGTGGGCATGGGGTTGGGGTGCAGTTACTCCGACTTCGGCTGTGGATGTTACCTCCTGTCAGCCTCACAGCTCCGTAGGCCATTACTCTGCCCTCAGCCGTGGCCGTCAGCGGGGAGGTCATGTTGGCCACATAGCTCTGGTCAGACTCGCTTCTTAAAGGAAGCCAACTGAGGGGTTAGCACTGCAGCCTGCACCGCTACAGCATGCTTTGGGCATGATCTTTACTTCGGGCTCTGGCGGGTGGGAAGCATTCCCCAGCGCCGTCCCGCAGGCCAGCAAATGTCCCGGGTATTTCTCTGATCTGTGGGGAAAGGGAGTAGAGTAGGATGTCAGATCCATGCACTTGGAGGCTGGGAGTGGGAAACTGATTCAACAGGGAGCACTAGGGAGGTGGAAGGCAGCATCCCTGCACCTGTGCTCTGCTGCTGAGTCGGGGTCAGCTCGTAAGGAATGCTGCATTGTGTAGCAAGTGTTTGCAAACTGGCTTCCTGGTCACACAGACTGGATTCCAGGGTAGAGAAAGCAGGGTGCATTCACAGGCCCATGAAAAATGCATTCATTTTTCTGGTCTCTCTGCTCAATGGAACTGCAGCTCCCATTGTCTTGATTATCTTTATGGTTTTGCTGGTGTTATTTCTTTTCATTACCTTGCACCTCATCATGTTAGTGTGTTATCACTGTGCTCACGGCTTCCTGTTATGTAGAGCTGATCCTGTCTACCTAAGAGCCATAAATGCAGCCAAGAAGTAGGACAAGTGGTGGCCAGGCACACACTGTGGCTTCTCTGGGTCAGCGCCGGCTCCTGCGTGACAGCCACCAGCCAGCCGAGGCTTCGTGCCCGGATGGAGCTGCCCAGGTGGAGAGTGCGTCCCAGTTTGGGAGGCACCGGCCAGTTCCTGTGTCGAGGGACAAAGTGCACAGGGCGACTGCATCTCAGCTCCTTTCCCCCCTCCCGACCCAATGCTGCGCTCACAGAGCTGATCTCCAGAGGCGCCAGCAGGTGGTCCCGGGGGAAAGGAAGGGGACTTCACAGGGCTTCCCCGAGCAGTCAGTCCAGCATGCCACAGTCGGGCGTGGGTGGCCAGGCTGGGGTGTGGGACTGGCGGCATGGGACTGGGTCTCATGTGGCTCCAGGGGTCTGAGCGCAGGAGGCAGGGCTGCACCTGTGGGGTCGCGGAGCTCAGGGTGGACTAAGTCCATGGCACAGATATTTTCCACACGTGCCAGGGACAGCGACATGGGACTGCAGCAACTTCCGGGCGCGTTGTCTGCGAGTATTCATTTATTAAGAGGAGGAACTGAAGCCAAATGACCGAGCCAGTACTTTTGTCTGCTCCACCACAAAGCCCAACCTGAGCGCCTGCAGTTTATCCTGTGAAATTCTTCTGAAATCTCTTGAAAACCTAAATGTGATCTAAAAGTAGCACAGGGTAGTAAATAAATCACTAGCTATTTTGTACCCATGGATGAGATTACTCCTAATTTATAGTTGCATGTTTCTCTCATCTAGATTGAC